TGGAGCTGTTAGAAACTATGTTAGTGTTTATTCAGGTCTTTTGGTGTCGGCTGGCCAAAATCGTTTGTGCTGAGAGCCTGCAGTTTCTGCAGGCCAGAGTGGAGGCCTGGTGGAAAAGAGGGCTCAGAGGAGCTTGGTCAAGAATAAAGGCTTTGTCAGTGAACGTGAATCTGGTGACACATTCAACCCAGAGCATTCCCACTTCAGTAAGAGGTTCCTCATTCACCCGGTTATTCAAGTCCGAAGCTGGGTGTCATATTGACCCTCCCTGTCCTCATCCGCCTCCCCACTCACCCAAAGTTCAGTCCCGCAGCAAACCCTCCTGGCAGCTGTATTTCTGGTCTGTCCACTTCTGTCTGTGTCCACCTTTCCCACCCAGGCCGGAGCCGCCTTCATCTCTAGAGTGGATTCCCATGAGCCCCTCACTGGTCCCCTGCTCCCCCAGACCCTTGTCTTCGTTCAGCAGCCAGAGCAAGCCGACTGAGACAACCAGGTCATGTCACTCCCTGCTTCAAACCCTCCAGAAGAAAGTGCAAACCCACTTGATTCGAAGGCCTTAAATGATATACTTCTTGCTGCCCTCTCTAACCACGTTTTGACGCCACGCAGGCCACACACGCCCGTGCCCCTCGTCCCCATCGTCTGTTCCCTCTGCTGGGAAGCTCCCCAGAGCTCCGTACCCCTGGCCTGGCTCCTTCTGGTGGCTGCATCTCAGCTCTTATGTCTGGCTCAGAGGGCAGGGGTGCCCGTCCTGCCACCCAGTATCAATCACAACCTCTGTCTCCTTCACAGCGCTCACCCCAGCATCAGGGGTGCCCGTACATTGATTTCTGTTTGTTCATTGTCTGCCCCCTGCCCCCCAATAGAAGGAATGAGAAGAAGGACCATTTTGTTCACTGCTGTGCCCCTAGGTCTTAGAACAGTGACCAGAGAAGTGAGTGCTCAGTAAATGTCTGCGAACAAAAGAATGCGGACAGGCTTACTCTCCGCGCTCATGCCTGGAGCTTCCTTAGTCTCTTCCCAAGACTGTGCCCCAGCCCAGCCTAGAGCACTGTTGGAACATAGATTTGACCATAGGATGGTGTGAGTTTTCAGGAGGGCCCTGGAATCTTTATTTGGGGACCACTGCATTAGATGGCCAGGAACTGGTGCAGGGCAGGGCCTGAGAGAAAGCCTTTTTTTTTTTTTTTTAATCTTGTGGCTAATTGTGTGTGCTCTCAAGCAGACATTAGTAGCTCATCCTATCTTGATGTATCCAGTTCTCAAGGCCTGGGACACAGGAAGCACTTAGGAACTGTTAGTCGGTTATAATGAGCTCAGCCAGACGAGACAGGCGAGAACGTATGAGATCATGGATGTGTGGGATCTAAAGAAGTGTAAACACAGAGGGTAAATGTGGCGATCAGGAGGCGGGGGAAGGGTAATGGCTGTGGAAGAGGAGCCAGAGCGAGGAGGATCTGGCAGGAAAGCACCCAGCATTGCCTGCCCTGCAGCCCTGCTCACAGCACTGCTGGGAAATAGCACCTGTTGGCATCTAGGTCCCAGAAACACCCAGTCAGCTTTTCCACCAGAACTACAGCCATTGCCTGGGTGCCAAGGGACTCCTGGGGGCCAGGTAGGACCAGATATAAAGAATCAAATACTGACTAAGGAAGTCCTTCAAGAGCTGAGACCATAACGACTGGGAGAAGTCAGGATGGGCTTCCTGGAGGGGGCACCGGAGCTGAGCCCTGAATGCCTAGACGCTTCTGACAAGCAGGAAGGATAGAGGTCATTCAGGGCAGAGTACGGCATACACTTTGGACTTAAACCAGGGGGTGGAAAAGCTTCATTCACTGCCTCCCTCAGAACCTAAGACACAAACCCACATCATTAGTTATGATTCTGATGACTGAAGAAGCAAAAGTCAGGACTGTCTCGTGGCAGGATCGCCCAACACTGAGAAAGGAGAAAGGCCAAGTGCCATCTTCCGAGCCTTTCACACGCATTCGCCCATTGAATCCTTAGACCCACCCTATGGGAAGGGGTCGTGACCACTGCTTTCTTTTTACACATGGAAAAACCAAGGCTCAGGAAGGCGGCGTCCTACCCATCACAGCCATGAAGTGGCCACAGTGGGATTGGAAGCCCAGTTGATCCGAACGAAACTGTTGCATCTCCCCTCCCCACCACGCTAGCTCTGCGCCATGCCCCGCCCTGCACCCCGCTGTGTGGTTACCACCACCAAGTGCCCATTCACCCACATGACCTCACAAAGAGGAAAAGGAGAAAGGAACTGGTCCACAGCCACGTGGCCCCAAGGGTCACAGCAGGGTGGGAACCCATGTCTGTGGGCTTCACAGCCTCAACTGCCACCTACACTTTGAAAGCCACATGGTCCAAGGATGGAAGGGTCATGGAGAAAACGCACTCCCACATGCTGGCCAACAGGGGACGCCTCTTTTGAGTCTGAGCAAGGTGACAGGCTAGCAGCAGGCCCTGAGTGGGCACCGACCCAGATGGTGAGGCCTCGGAAATGCCTGGGGTGGTGCGGGCCACGGGGTAGCTGGAGCGGAGGGGACGAGCTATTCTTTATTCTTTGTCTCAAACCCCGCAGGTCTGCATCAGCTCCAACCCGTGTCCCTGAGCTCCAGCTGCAGAGCCACCAATGCGGTTGGCTCGGTGGCCTCAGCTGCTCCGTGCCCAGTGATGAGCACTTGATGAGTGAGCCGTGCCCACAGCAGAGGGAGCAGCTGGAGGAGAAGGGGCAGACAGCGGCAGGGTGAGGAAGTAGGGGCCAGGGACGGGTCAGGAACGCCAGTTCCACTGCCTGCCCCTGCTGTGCTGTGGGCTCTGCTGCCTGGTAGCCCTGGGTTCAAACCCCAGCTCCCTGACCTCCCTCTCCCTTCAGTTTTCTCTACTGTGAAGGGGGTAATAAGCTCTTGGGAGGACAGAAGGAGAGCACTGATCATGAAGTAGGGGCCTGGTACACTGGCGTTCTCCCCGCCTGCCCTGAGAAACGAGGCTCAAGACGGCACCCTGTCCTGCAGTCCTCTCAGGTTAGTTAGTATGGGGCAGACGTGGCTCCCTTAACAGACAATTCTGCAAAAAGGCCAGTGATGCAAGTCTCAACGGAGATGCAGAGGGAGAGCAGGGAAGGCTTCCTGGAGGAGGGGGGGGGAGCGTCCTGACAGAAGCTCAGGGAGGCATCTGGGAAAGGGGGCTCCTCCCGTCCCCACAGCACTCTCTTGCCCCCTTCTTCTGCTCCCCTGGATCACTGCCACAGCCACCCCGCCCAGCGTGGCCTGGCCACTCCAGCTCCATGCCTGCAGTCTCCAAAACTGTATTTCAAAAGTACAAAGTGCAAATCCGAGCATAATTACATCACCCCCTGACCTTCTGTGGCTCCCCATTGCTTCAGAACCAAGCAACCTATTCCAGCCAACTGTGCTTCCCCTACAGCCTCTCTTCAGACACTGCCTCCTCAGGCTCCAGGTCAAATCACAGCCAACTCCTTGGAGTTCCCTCCCTCGCTGTGTCATTGTCTCCAAACTGACACCCTGCCTCTTGTCAATCTTGCTTCCACTATCTGGAGCCCTGTCACTGCCCATCCCCTCGCCAAGCTTGACAGCTACAGCCTTTTCTTCAAGACACAGCTCGAGGATCACCTCTTCCAGGAAGCCTTCCCTGACTCCTCCTGCAGCGTTAGCCTCTCTCTCCTTGGTGCTTTCATCGAATGCAGCAGTGACGTCACTGCAGTGCCTCAACCAGACAGGGCCTCAGAGCCAGGAACCACGTTGTTTAAAATAATAAAACTTTCTGTTTTCATTGAGGTGAAATTCACATATCATAAAATTAACCATTTTAAAGTGCACACTTCAGTGGGGTTTAGTACGTTCACAGTGCTGTGCAACCACCACCTCTATCTAGTTCCATAACATTTTCAATCCGCACCCCCATTAAGCAGCAAGTCCCCACTTTAAAATACATTTTAAAGTAGCGATAAAATACAGGTGACATTAAATGTGTTTATGTTTTTATTTTTTTAAAGGGTCTATTACCCCTGAACTCTAAGCCTCTGTATTCCCAAGGAGCTTCAAAACGGCATTCTTAAAAGGGTTTATTCACATTTTCAGCCCAAAAAGTCTTCCCCCCTTGAATTGCACCCTCCCAGATGCCACACACTTTTCCTCAGCACTCTCCCCTGCCCTCCGTGTCTGAAGATAGCTGCGCCCACTCCAGCTGGCTTACTCCCCACTCCCAGCAGTGCCCCTTTCTTTCTGCAAACCCCATGGACCCAGACTTGAGATCATTTACTCAAAGACAGCAGGCAAAGGCCAGGGACCTCAGGGCTGGAGTACAAGCACTTTCCCAACAGTAGAGGGGTTCTATGCAGGCGTCTGCCTCAGTCTCCCCAATGGTAAAAAGGGTGCAGGTTCTGTCCTGCAGCCTCCCTGCAAGAAAGGTAGGGAGGCCCCAGTAGGCAGGAGAACCCAAGGCCAACACTAGGCGACGACCCTCGGCTGCGGGTCCAGAGGAGCCAGCCCGCCCCAAGCCCCGCCCAGGCCCTAGTGGGCGGAGCCACAGCCGCTAGGGCGGGCTCTTGACCTGGTCCTAGCGCCTGCCGCGCACTCACCCTCCCAGGCGGACCTGCGCTCTCGCCCGCTAGCTGCCACCGTTGTCCGGTGGTCCCACGCGAGCTCGCCGCGCTGCTCCCCGGCCCGCCCGCCATGAGGAGCGCCCACTCCCTGGTCCTTTTCTCCCTGCTTGCCCTTTGCGGGAGCGGTGAGTTCTCTTTGGGGAAGGAGGGCGGACGCCCGGGTCCAGCGGAGCCCGCTGGACAGGCCACAGGTGGGAGGGGCGTGGCCGGGGTTGTCCCGGCAGGATGGAGCGTGTTTGCAGGTGACCGAGTCTGTGCGGTTGAGGTGGGTGCCGCTCCTCTCTGTGTGGCTAGTGCCCGTGGAGTGGCAGCTCCACTCAGCCCAGCACGAAGGAGCCCGCGGGCAGAACTCCGGGTCCCACAGGTTCTCCCTGTGAGTGTGGACTCCGGAAGCAAGCCAGCTGCTCAGTGCTGGAGGGAGGGGGCTTGCCCAAGCCACCAGCGCTGGGATGTGTGCAGTTCAGGGTGGATGCCCTGGGACACCCCACGCTTCTGGTCACCCACCCTAGGGCCACTCAGGTAACTGCAGGCTCTGACGGCGGCGGGGTCACCCAATTAGCCCCTCCAGGCAGAGTCCAGATGTGGTGAGGATTGCCTTCTCCGGGCCTCAGTTTCCCCACCTGGGCGCAAAGGACGCTTAGCTCCTACCCTCTGGCCCTAGCTTAATCTGAGGCCTGGTCATCCCAGAGGACCAGGGCTACATCCTCCTGGGACAGACACCACACCACAGGGTTGGAGGCAGGAGTGGGGGTTCCTACAGAGAAGCTCTCACCAAAGACAGTGACCACACTCAGCGTGTATGGCTCTGTCCCCACTGCTGGTGACCCCCAGCCATTCCGGTCCCCTCTCTGGACCTCAGTTTCTGTTCTGATTTGTTTTGCTATGCCCCGCCTACCGACACAGGGCTCAGATGTGTGAGTCAGTTGCAGTTTCCCCGTGGATCCCAGGGCCACCTATCAGTCACCGAGTACAGAGTCCTGGGCCCTACCCTAGGCTCACAGAGCAGAATCTGTGGAAGTGGAGCCTGGGGACCTGCATTACAGAGCACCCAGGTGACCCTTACACAGGCCTGGAGAAGCTACTGACAATCATGGTGAGCTTCCTGTAAAAGGTAAAACCCCTAACCTTTTCCAAATCCGTAGCTGCCCTCTAACAAATACAGATGTCCTGTTCCCATCCTCAGTTAAGAACACACACACCAATTGAAAATCACTCTGCCTTTCAAGGGCCCACTTGCAAAGAAGATTCTGTGACGTTACCTTCTGTAGTCTGATTCCAAAATTAGGATCATCTTCCCATTTTTCCAAAACAGCTTTTCAGACCAGCTATGCTTTTCAAACTGCACACACGCTCACACAGTTTAGAATTCCAGCTGCGGTCAGTCCTCTTGAATTTGTTAACCCTGTGCCCTGTTTCCAGAGGAAGGCCATGGACAGACGCAGGCTGGCCAGCTCCCCAGCAGAATCTCTGGGTCGTGAGTGGCCCCTAGTGGCGTGCTCTCTGTTTCAGTGTCAGCCCCAGGGCTGGGATGTGACAGTCTAGGCCACAGAAGCTCCCACCCATTCCGGGCCACTCTGTCATCTTGGGATGAGGGGCCTGTCCCCTGTTTTCTGAACCCAGCAGGCCTCACAGGCACAAAGCAGCACATTGGAAAGTCTAAACGTGTGTTGTTCTGGGCTCCTTTTGGGGTGGTGGAGTGCATTGCAGCCCTCCACAGCCCTGATGGTCACCCCCACCCTGGCCCCCACACTCACTTGCTCTGGACTCCACAGGCCTCTGCAGGGGAAGCCTCCTTACAGAAAGTCAGCAGGGCAGGAAGGAAGGTCCAGGCTGTGTGACAGAGGCTCCTGGACCTGGCTCTGCCTCTGACTTGCTGGGGCCCCTGCAGTAAGTGCCTCCCCTCTTTGGTCTCAGTTTCCCCATCTGAGAAATGGAGGGTTAGGCTAAATGGTCTTAAGGTTTTTGGAGCCTCTAACTCAGGAGCCCATAGCTGGTCCTCAAGATGGGGGAACACCCCTCAGGGCCAGCTGAATGCCTGAGAGGCAGGACAGGCCCAAAGGTGGGCAAGCTAAGCATCCCAGGTGGGCTCAGAGCCGGAAGCCTGCCAAGCAGCCAGCCGTGGCCTCTCAGGAGCCCAGGTGGACCAGCCCTCTGGGGATACAGAGACGTGGGATCCACCCCCCAAAACTATGGGGCTGGAGGCCAGGAGCTGTGGATTCTAACCCCAGAGCTGCCCCAGACATGCCAGATAGGCTTGGGCAAGTCACACCCCTCTTTATGAAATGACTGCTCAGGCCAAATATATAGACTACAGAGGGGCTGTGGGAGGGGCCCAGCTGTAGCCTGGGGCTGCAGACTGGCTTCCAGGGCATTCAAGCCGCTGGCCTCTGGAAGGGGGCTCAGAATCTAGGGCAAGCATCGAGGGCCCCTCTGGACAGCCAGAGGCAGTCTGGGGGAGGGGCAGCAGGCTGCAGGTGCACTGGGAGCCTCTTTCACAGGGCACTAAATATCGCATCTGCCCCAGTTACGCAGCGGGTTGGAAAGTGCGTGGAGCAGCAGCTGGCGGCTGCTGCCATGGCCCATGTGCACCCAACACCCACCCAGGAGTCTGCCTCCCACTTGCTTGGTTGGAGCAGTTGAGGCTCTGGGCCCCCTGGCAGAGGTCTGGGGAGAGCAGTGAGCTGGCCCTGCAGGGGAGGACTGTCGAGTCCTGGGCCTGGCGAGCTGGCAGCCTTCACTGGCACCCCCACCTCCTCTGCCTCCCTAGTCCCTTATCCTCTCCCGCCACCTCACTAGTTTTTCTGCACAGCTCATCTCTTTCCGTGCTCCTGGGCTGTCCACTGAGTGCCCCTCTTTCCAAGGTCCCCATCCCCGACACATTGTCCCTGAGGAGCCCAGGCAGGGTGGTGGGGTGGAGATGGGAACAGGGACGGAGAGACTGGAAGGTGGACTAGACAGAACTGGCAGCCACTGGAAGACACAGGCTTTGGACTAGGTGGTGAGAGGGAATGGGCAGAGGAAGCGGGGGGCTGTGGGAGGACAGTTAAGCTGTCCAGGAGAGGCAGGGCTACCTCGGCCAGCCCTGGGGACCCCAGGACAGCTGGCCCTCACAGCTGTTTCCTTCACGGCCATCGGCTGCAGTGGGCGTCACTTGGACAGCCAGCAGGTCTCACTGTGTGTTTTCCCAGGGGACTGTGCCATGGCCAACGCAGAGGAGAAGCTCATGGACTACCTTCTGAACAAAACCCGCTACAACAACCTCATCCGGCCAGCCACCAGCTCCTCGCAGCTCATCTCCATCCAGCTGCAGCTGTCCCTGGCCCAGCTCATCAGCGTGGTGTGTGTGTGGGGGGGACGTGGGGCTTCAGTGCCCTGGCCAGGTCTTGGGAAAGGGGAGGCCATTCGGCGTGCAGGGCTGGGAGCTGGGGGACGGGTTTACTTGTGGCACTGCCCAGACTTGGGGACAAGGTCCCAGGCTGCCTGTCTGCTCTTCTCCATATGCACACATTAAGACATTAAGGGTGCAGGGGACCGAGGCACAAGAGAAATCTCCTAAAAGGAGGTGGGCAATACTTTTGCTAAGACTGACTGACCAAACTGTACACTTAAGATCTGTGCATTTCATTGTATGTAAGTTATTCCTCAACTTTGAGAGATATTTTGGAGACGGGTGAAGGTCTTAGCTTTCAGTAAGGGCTGAGTAGCTCATGGAGATTTGCCTTCCCACAGGAACAATTAGAACAGCTGGACAAAACCGCCCCTCTACCCCAATCTGTTTGAAGGCGTTGGAGAGCTCAGCCAGGACTGGAGGCACCACCTCCAGGAGGTGACCCTGACATCTGTGCCGCTTCCCCAAGTTTAATGATTGGCACACAGGGCTGGGCTGAGGCCCTGAGTACACAGTGGTGGCCACGGGGGGAGCCCTGGGTGGGCGCGTGGCTCTCACGGGCTGGGGTGGCACACACTGGGGTCTGAGCCTCACTGAGGAGATGGGTGTTGGTGGAAAGCTTGACAGGACGAGCCCAAGAGTAAAGATGAATCAAAAATAGAATGGCTGTCACAGAACTAACTGCTGTGAAGCAACTCAGTCACAGGCTACATTAAGGCGATGTGCCCCTCCTCCAACTGCTTGCTTCAGAGCCCCGACCGCACTCCCTGGAGGCATGCACAGCCATGCACCAAATAACAAGGGGCGACGGCAGCCCCCCAAGGTCACCGTGGAGCTGAAAACTCCCTGTCGCCTAGCACATCGTGGCCGTCACTACGCCTGTCACAACGCTGTATCACCACGCATTAGCTGCCTGCAGTCCTCAGTCATCACATGCCGTACAGGCTGGCAGCCCAGGAGCAGGGGTGCAGCCCAGCCCAGGGGTGCAGCCCAGTGGGCTACCAGCTGGGTCTGTGACATTCGCACAACCACACAATCACTAACGACGCATTTCTCAGAACACACCCCCGCTGGTAAGTGACGCATGTCTGGGAAGTCAGATGAAAATTTGCTAGGCACCTGATAAGACAGGACAAAATGAGAAAAGACCAAGGGGAAAAAGAAGAAAGTGGAAAAAGACATACAGATGATTTAGTCTGACACAGTCTGTTAAAAAACTATCATTAAGATAGTAAATTTTATGTTACGTGAATTTTACCACTATTAAAAATAAATAATAACTTTTCTAAAAAGTAAATAGCCAGTAATATGTTCAAGAAAATTATAATGATGGAGCAGTTAAAGCCCATCACGGGATGGGTTTAATAGCAGATTGGTCACAGCAGAAGAGGAGGGTAAGGAACTGGGAGAGGGGTCAGTAGGAATTACCTCCACAAACGATAGTAAAGGGTGGAGAAGACAGGAGATGTGTGATTCCCTGGGAAGGCCATACCGTGGAGGACTGGGTTTGGGGCAGACCATGAGCTCTGTCTGACATGCTGGGTGTGAAACACCGGTGAGCCACCCGGCCCGAGCTGTTGGGTGGGTCCTTGCCACATGGCCCTGGAGCTCAGAGCCTGCTGGCAACCGTGATAACCGGGTCTGTGTGGTGGTTCCTCCTACCCACGAACTGACAGCCCCTTTCTCTCCCTAGAATGAGCGAGAACAAGTCATGACCACCAATGTCTGGCTGAGACAGGTAAGTGCCCTGAGGGTCCCCAGCCCAAGAGGCCTTTCTCCAGGGCTGCCCGTTCGTTCATGGGTGGCGATGGGCCTGCCGGTGACAGGGCCTTGTTGTGCGCTCAGGAGTGGACCGACTACCGCCTAGCGTGGAACAGCTCCTGCTATGAGGGTGTGAATATCCTGAGGATCCCCTCAAAGCGAGTCTGGCTGCCTGACATCGTGCTTTACAACAAGTGAGTTGGAGGGCTGGCTGAGGCAGTGGGCCGGCAAGGGTGGCAGGCCCAGCCCCGGGGTCCTCCAGACTGAGTGCAGCCCTGGGCCCCGACGGTGCTTCTCTGACTCCCCAGCCACCAGGCTGCAAGAGGCACTAGAGATGAGCAAAGCCAGCGCCCCCAGTTACAGACGGGGCACCGGAGGCCCCGAGGCTCACTCAGGCACAGCTGAGAGGACTAGCATCCCGACCCCCGTCCAGTGCTGGCTGTGTCCTGTGTACTGTCTTTCTGACCGTCCACTGCTTGGTCTGTGCAGGGTGCTGGGAGCACTGGCTTGCTATGTGTAGATTCCTTAGATAGGTGAGGGAGCTAGAGAGGCTCTCCCTGTCAGCGTGACACCAGCAGAAGCGTGAAATGGTTACGAGCGTATGGTCTAGGGACAACAGACCGGAGTTCAAATCTCAGCTGTTCTACCTACTAGTTTTCTGACCTTGAGGAAGTCACTTAACTTCTCTGAGCCTCAGTTTTCCCATCTGTGAAATGGGGGTAAGAACAAAGCCTGCCTCACTGGACTGCTGTGAGGTCTAAGCGAGCAGAGCTGACCCACGTGTAGACGCCCAATAGCGCAGGCCTCCCAGTGCGGGCTAGGGGGGAGGTGGCCCCTCAGCTGCAGGCCCCTTGGCGTAGCCGTGTCTATGCTTTCACGCTGTTCCCCTCTGCACCCTGCCCGTCCCAGTGCCGACGGGACCTACGAGGTGTCTCTCTACACCAACGTGGTGGTGCAGGCCAATGGCAGCGTCATGTGGCTGCCCCCCGCCATCTACAAGAGCGCCTGCAAGATCCAGGTGAGGCACTTCCCCTTCGACCAGCAGAACTGCTCCCTCAAGTTCCGCTCCTGGACCTACGACCATACGGAGATGGACATGGTCCTCAAGTCTCCCACGGCCAGCGTGGACGACTTCACCCCCAGTGGCGAGTGGGACATCATGGCCCTCCCAGGCCGGAGGACGGTGGACCCGCAGGACGCCAGCTATGTGGACGTGACATACGACTTCATCATCCGCCGCAAGCCGCTCTTCTACACCGTCAACCTCATCGTCCCCTGCCTGCTCATCACGTCGCTGGCCATCCTGGTCTTCTACCTGCCGTCCAACTGCGGCGAGAAGATGACGCTGTGCATCTCCGTGCTGCTGGCGCTCACCGTCTTCCTGCTGCTCATCTCCAAGATCGTGCCGCCCACGTCCCTCGACGTGCCACTCGTCGGCAAGTACCTCATGTTCACCATGGTGCTGGTCACCTTCTCCATCGTCACCAGCGTGTGCGTGCTCAACGTGCATCACCGCTCACCCAGCACGCACACCATGGCGCCCTGGGTCAGGCGCTGCTTCCTGCAGCAGCTGCCCACCTTCCTCTTCATGAAGCGCCCTGACAGCAGCGCCCCCACAGCTCCCGGGCCCAGCCAGTGTCACCTGACCCCGTCTGAGGCCTCGACCGCAGGCCCTGCCAGCTCCCCCAGCCTCTACAGGGGCTCCGCGTACTTTGTGAGTCCTGCCTCTGCAGCTCCCAAGTCTCCTGCTGGCGGGACCCCCAGAGATGTCCGGCTGCTGTCTTCTGGGAGGTTCCAGCAGGACATGCAGGAGGCTTTAGAGGGCGTCTCCTTCATCGCGCAGCATATGAAGAGTGACGATCAAGACGAGAGCGTAAGTCACCAGCCCAGCCCTGCCACCTGCCCAGTGGCCCGCCTCAGACAATAGCACCAGTTTCCCATTTCCCACAGCTAATTCACATGAGAGGAGGGCTCGCAAACTCTTTGTTGGACTAAGGAATCCAAACGGGACATTAGTCCTGTTACCGCTTCATGCATGGGGGGAGAAGAAGGACCAGTGATCCTTTGTGTTTGTTTTGGGTTCCCCAGAAGCAGACCCTGAAGCGAGGACCTGGCCACGGCGGTTTGTGTGAGAGGTGATCTCAGGATGCACAGTAGGGACAGTGGGATGGGGAGGAGGGGAAGCAGCGTGGCACTGATGAGCAGGATACTGCTGTGGGCTCCCGCTCAGCCCATCAGAGACCCCCTGAGGACACACAAAGGAGCGAGCCACAAAACCTTCCCCAGGAGGCAGGGGGCATTGGCCCCTGTGCTCCCGTCTCCTGTGGGATCTGCTTCCTGGTTATGCCCGCTGGCTGAGCAGCAAGCACCTTGGGTGCTGGAGGAGCCCCAGGCAGGGAAGAGGGACACAGGCGCCCAATGTGGGAGGCTGTCCATTGGCTGGAAATGACGTCTGCAGCCCTTAGGGACACAGGTGGCGGGGGCACTGAGGACATCTGCTCCCACCCTCGTCAGGCTTGCCAGAAAGCCATACGAACACTTGTAGCTTTTAGGAGTACAGAACCATCAATTAAAATATTATTGCTACCAGGGTGACCGCAATTACAGATGTTTAAAAAGAGGTTATGTGTGCTCTCACAGGACAAGCTTAGGGCTCCCAACCAACTCCTCGGAACAAATAACCCCTCGAAGGACAGTCCTGTAGCTGGACACAGAACATGATGGCAATGGCGGGAAATGGTCACCGCGCTGCCGTCTTGTGAATGTTCTCATCCCAACACCTGATCAGACCAGATACTTTCCTCGCTCTTACCTTCCTGTGGTTTCTTGCCACTAGCCCCGTTCTCAAGGGAAGGCACTGGGAGTCCATCAGAGCAGGCAGAGAAAAGAGCAGGCCGGGACAGCTCCAACATCACACTGTGCAAAGGAAAGGAGGGAACTGGTAATGAGTGGAGTGTGGGACGCACGAGCTCTCTTTCTGAGTGGGGTCCCAACACCTGGGAGCTGGGTGGGAACGCAGCCTCTCAGGCCCCGCACACCCTGCTGGCTCAGACTGTGCTTTGGCCAGGTCCCCAGGGCACTCCCAGGCACACTCCCATGAGAAGCACAGCTCTGTAGGGCTCTCAGGTGTCGCTTTTTGAAAAATCACTTTGTGCTTTCTTTTGTTTAAAACCATTCAGTAGCTCCCAAATGTCACTGTGCCCCCTGGGCCTGCTGGCAAAATGGGAACCACTTGGGCAACTGTTGGAAACAGCCTCAGGGCCACCAGGGCAGAGCCGGGGCCCTGGGGTGCGTCCAGGAGCTGCATTTCTAACCAGATCCCGACACTTCCTGTGTACGAGCAGGCTGAGCTCTGGTCTCCTGCAGCCTGGCTGAGCTGGCACCACCCTGAGCTTCCTCTCCTGAAGGGCTCACACCCGCTTGGCACTCAGAGGCCTGCTGTGTCTGAGCCAAGTAATTAAAAGCCTCTTGAGGGAAGGCCTAGCCAGGAGCCCGTTATTGTAACCACCAGTGCTCACTGAGCTTAACCGCACTCAGGCGCTCTGCCAGGACCCGACGACATCACTGCTACCCGCCCCCCTCCTCCCCTGGAACCCTGTGAAGTGGCGTTTGCTCAAACTCCCATTTTATAATGGGACAGCTAGGCTCAGAGAGGCTCAGTGACTTGTCCAGGGTCACACAGCTGGCACAGAGCACAGCCAAGCTCCATACCCAGATCTTTGTGACGTCCCTAACCTTTCTTGCCCTGCACTGAGCTCACGATGGATTTGGTTGGTGGACTTTCTCATGTCTCGCTGGGAAAAAGAGGCTTCCTTCCCTACAGAACATGTCCCCACTCAAGCCAGTCCAGGCTGTGTTTCCATCTTCAGCACTTTCACCCTCCTTGGAGATTAACTGGTCACTATAAATAGCACAGAATATAAAAGGGGGAAAAGGCACACACACCATAAAAAAAGTCATCTGAAATTAGGGTTGTCAAAAAAGAAACCCAAGAAAGACGAGGGGCTCACATGGAGAGCCAGGCGGTACCTGCTGGTCACAGGGGCCCGCAGCAGTTGTGTTTGGCTGGAGGTACGGGGCTGGGTGATGCGGGGTTACTCTGCAGAGCAAACACACCACTGATGGGCCCTGACAAACTGGGTCACTGGCGTCAGCTTGCCCGTTGCTGCCCGATTTCCAGAGCCTTGCGGTGTTCTGATGTGGCCACTCCCACCGGGGACAGTGTGCAGAGGGATTCAAATGGGCCAGTGTGCACACAGGCAGGGGGAGGGAGGCCGGGAAGCTGGGTCTCTGAGGGGCGGGGGGGAGGTCTCCCCAGGGCAGAGGACGCAGGCACATCTGTGGCGGCCCCTCTGCAGGCCAGCCAGGTTTCTGCCAGCCCCACACCCATGCTGCGAGAGACCCAGATGTGCAGCAGCGGGAGGCTGGCCCTCAATTACAGACTAGCAGCTGCTGCTGCTGAATTGAGCAAACGAAACAGCAGGATTTCCAGCATCCTGCAATGCCTCACCCTCAGTAGGCTCGGGGTGACTATAAGAGAAGGGCCTGTAGTCCTCAGACCTCATCCCCTTTACAGTCAGGTTTGGTTTGAATCACATTCCTAACCTTTCTACACAGCACTAGTTCCCAGGGGCTCGGCAATGCTGCAGGGGCTAGGTGGAGGGGGACTGGTGACCTGAGAGTCACAGCAGCACCAGCTGGGGCACCAGACTCACTCTCAGAAACTGCTACCCCATGTGGTCTGTGGGGCCTCAGCCAGTGAGGGTCCAACTCAGGGGACACAGCGAGATCAGGGAGGACCTCAGCACTCGCCCGTGTGACCTGCTTCTGTCTGCCCACAGGTCGTGGAGGACTGGAAATACGTGGCCATGGTGATCGACCGGCTGTTCCTGTGGGTGTTCGTGGTTGTGTGTGTGCTGGGCACCGTGGGGCTTTTCCTGCCGCCCCTCTTCCAGACCCACTCGCCATCCGAGGGGTCCTAGGCTGCCCCGCCTGTCCCAGGACCCCGGCTCTGGGGTGAGGTGATGTGGGCAGCCAAGTGGACAGTTCGCTGTTTCCTTCTGGGTTGCAGCTGCTGAGGCCCTAAATGAATATGAGACCAACGGCCATCAACCCATCAAAAAGCCACAGCATGGGAAGGGGAGGACTGGGGACCTGGACTGTCCCTTCTGAAGGCCCCGGGGAAGCCAGGAAACCCTGGCAGGAGGGGGCTTTGGACAGTTTAGTTCTGGCCAGTCGTTCTCCCTGCACCAGAATAAGGACAAGCGTAACAGCAGCACCTACTGTATGCCGGGCATGTTACCGCGCACCCTGTTTCTCCCCACTCCCCCTTATGCCCTGGGCTCACTGGCCTTCTTCAGTCCCTCACACACTTCAGGACCCTTCCCAGCAGACAGCCTGTGCATCTGCAGTAACTTCTGCCCAAACCTGCCTCCCCGCGTGCCTCCCAGGCTCTTCCCGTGGCTGCATCATCCAGGGGTCCACTCCAACCCACCAGTGTCCTTACACCACTTCCCCAGAGGCCTCCGAACTCACCCATTCCAAACCATCCTCCCTCATAGCCACGGCCACGGCGACGGCCACGGCCCCGCCACCTCCCTCGAGCTCCCAGGACCTGAGATTCTCACTCGCTTGCATGCTCATAGTCCACGTTCACCCACTAGAAAGTGAGCTCCGTGAGGGCAGGAACCAGGTCCTTCGTGTTTGTTGTGGCATCCCCGGGGCCCAGGACAGAGCCCGGCACCCAGCAGATACTCAATAAATGTTTGCTGAACAAATGAATGGCTCCTGTTCCTCCGTCAAGCTCGCATGCCCCTCCTCTGAGCAGCCAGCCCGGATTCCCCACATGAAAGCAAGGGCCCCCGCTCCGTGCTCCACAGCCAACTCCCACCCTGCTTCAGAGCACAGCCGGCTCAGGTGTGTCTCTCACAGATGCTCTGATTGGCCCCCACGGACTATCATTTGCCCAGTGCCTGGTGTCTAGTAGGCACTCAACATATTTGTGGAACGGAGGAGTACTTTTTAAAAATTATACAATTTGCGGGCCGGCCGAGTGGTGCATTGGTTAAGTAAGAACTGGCTTGGGACCCGATCCCACATATGAGGGCCAGTGACACTGCCCTCCACAGCTAAGATGCTGAACAACAGCTCAACCTGGAGCTGGGCTGCCGTGAGTCGCCGGCGACGGCGTAGGCTGCAGCCCCTGTGGCAGTGGGTTGCCATGGGCTACCGTATGTAGCCAGCAGCCAGCGTGAGCGGCCAGCAGCCGCAGTGAGCGGCCGTCCAGAAGCCAGTGACTGATCTGCCTCGCCGGGAAAGAGCGCAATGATGGTGCCAGCTTGGGCCAGTGAAGCAACATCCTTCACAACTAGATTGAAGAACAAAACGACAGCAACTTGTCTGTTCCCCTTTCCCCAATTCCCCAGCACTGTTCCCATCCCCCAATTCCCCAATAAAATCTTTAAAAAAAAATTATACAATTTGATACAAAAATTCACCTTTCTGCCAGGAGAATAGATTTTAACACATGCATAGGTTCGTATAATCAGAATATACACAATCCCTCGTGCTCCTGCTTAGGGTCCTGGCCCCTCAGCCACTGGGCCACTCGCCTCCTCCATCACTGGGGAGTCTTCGCAAGAACACCACTTCCATGAAACACACAGCATGCAACCCTTGACACACGCCTTCGAGGTGCCAAGTTAGTTCCTTTGTCTCGCTGAGCTGTGTTCTGTCACCTGGATGTCACATTTAGGTTGTTACAAATGGTGCTGCTATAAACATCCACGTATAGGATTCTGTATGACAAGTTTTCATTCCTCTAGACCAGCGGTTCTCAACCTGTGGGTCGTGACCCCTTTGGGGGTCGAACGACCCTTTCACAGGGGTCGCCTAAGACCATCGGAAAACAAAAATATATTTACATTACGATTCATAACAGTAGCAAAACTACAGTTATAGAGTAGCAACGAAAATAATTTTATGGTTGGGGGTCACCACAACATGAGGAACTGTATTAAGGGGTCGCGGCATTAGGAAGGTTGAGAACTGCTGCTCTAGACAAATAGGAGTGCGACTGCTGGTTTATCTGGGCTGGATGTTTATCTCACAGGAGACTGTCCAACTGTGTTCTGGGGAGCCATGCCATCGTGCGCTCCTGCAAGCAAAGTATGAGCTGTCCAGCTGCCCCGTGTCCCCATCTGCTCACACTGTACTTTGTACTCTAGCCGCCCGGGTGGATGTGAAGGGGCATGTCCGGGTTTTAACTTGCTTTTCCCTAATGGCTAATGATGTTGAACATCTTTTCGTGTGACTTTTTACTTTCTGTATATCCTCTTTGGTGAAATATCTGTTTTAATTCTTTTGCTCATCTTTAAAATTGGGTTTTAGTTTTCTTACTGTTGAGTAAGAGTTAAAAACAACTATAGTGAGGTATAACTTACATATCACAAAATTTGCTCATTTTAAGTGTACAATTCCATGGTTTTGGTAAATTTATCACCCTAATCCAGTTTTGGAACATTTGTATAACCCCAGTAAGGTCCCTCGCACCTAGTTCTTCTTACTTTTGAGTTTTGAGTGTTCTTCGTGTCTTCTACACATGAGTCCTCAGTAGGGCATGTAAGGTTTGCAGTCTTTTCCAAATGAAGGGCTTTTGCCAGAATGAGACGGCGCTAAATGGGGGCTGAGAGGTAGGCCCCAATTCTCACAAACATTTTCTGGGTCCTGCAAAACATCGCCTTCGTCTGGTTGTAATGTAGGTAGAGACCTATTCTTGAAATAATAAGGGCGACTCACCTGTCCTCTGATGAAGGGACCCCAAGGAAGCTTGCAGGTGCTTCCCACCACACACACAATGGTCAGAGAGGCAAAGGGGCCCCACAGTGGCCTGGGCACTGCAGGTTCCTGACGCCCCCAGAGATGCAGATGGGGTGGGGGGCAGAGGAGGTTCTGCAGGGGGCCAGGGGCTGGTAGGGCAGTGCCCTTTCCAATGGCCCCATCTCCAACACCTCATCTCCCCCCCTTTCTTTTGTTTCACTTTTTATTAAGGAGCATTTCAAACATTCTAAAGTCCACAGTGTAACAAACCTCCAAGAATACCTTCCTCACTCAGCCTCAACAATGGCCAACTCTGGCCGATGCTGTCTCAGCGGGCTCCCGCCCCGCAGGACTCTCACAACCACAAATACCATTACCGCACCTGAAATATTGAACACCTATTTCGTCGCGTCAAAATATGAGCTGCGTTAGAGGCACTCAAGAAGACTAGCGACCAGCGCCCCGTGCTGGCACACACACAAGGGCACGCCAGAACAGAGAATCCCACGTGGTTCCCCCTGCCGGCGGCCCTGCTCTGATTGGCGGGCGCAGGCACACCCCGACACAGGACCCAGCTCGGCCCCTCCAGCGCCAGCCCAGACCCTTGCGCCGCCGGCAGGCAGGGTTGGTGGGAGGCCGGGAGGAGCCCAGAGCCCCGCCCCGTCTGACTCCGAGCTGTCGCTGCACAGGGAGCCCACGGGCGAGTCTGTCTCCCTTACGCCCTGTCGGCTCCTGATCGCTCCGGGTCTCCGGGCAGCCCGGGGGACGGGCCATGGGCGCACACTCGTTCCGGGCGCCGCCACTTCTGCTGCTGCTGCTGCTACTGCTGCCAGGTACGCGCCGGCTGGGAGCCGGAGGGACAGGTGGCCCGAGGGGGGACTCGAAGTCCAAGTCCAAGCGGTCGGGCTGGGAGCGCACAGTGGGGGGCTCAGGGCGGCGGAGGGGCCGGGGATCCGACACGCGCGAACTCCCTCTAGCGGGTGGCGAGCTGGATGGGGACGCCCGTCTCCCTGTGGTGCATCGCCTCCAGAGCCGCGCTTGGTGCTCTGGGTCCCGACTGGCACTACCCGGGCGTCGGCTCCACTGTCTGCATCCCGCCCCCCTCCTCGTTTTCAGTCTAGACGGGGAAACTGAGGCCAGAGAAAGGTAAAGACTTGACGCAGGCCCCCGGGGAGAGTGGAGTGGTTCCGGGCCGGGTGGCGAGCGCGCCAGCCGCCCCTCCGTCCTCACCTCTCCACCCTCCTAGCAGTGAGGGCGCCTCCCGCCTCTGCCCAGTATCCACCATGGCCGGTCAGAGAAGTGGTCCTGCACCACGGCCCGAAGGCTGTTTGGTTGGCCTGGGAGGGCTGGTTGTACCAAAGGGGTCAGGGTCTGGCAGGGATGCAGGGGACCCTGTTAGGACAATGCTCTGTGGCTGTGCCTTCGGAGCACCGTGTCTGCCCCCCTGGTGCCCAGGCCCCCACTACTCAGCGCCTTGCCTGTGGCCCCTCCTTTATGGGGGTGGGGGAGTGGCCACGAAGGAGCAGGCAAGATCCCATTTCAAGACCTGGATAAGCTGGGTCATACTTCACTAAGGATCCCCCTCTTCTACTCCCCACATTGTCCCCAGATCTGTAAATGGGAAACCCCAGACCGCTAACTTGAGATGCCTGGGGTGTGGCTGATGAGCACAGGGGTTCCCAAGGCTTTCAGAGAGGTGAGGGTCTCTGATCAGGATGTGAAGGCAGCATCAGCGGGGACCCCGGGTCACACTTAGAGATCATGGGAGCCACGGAGGGCTAAGACGCGTGGTGGCCAAACCCCAACAAGGTGCAGAGTGGGACAAAGGAGAGCCCAGGCCTCGGCTGCAATCTCCCACTGGGAGGCTGAGGGGCAGAACTGCCCTGGATGGCCATATGTGGCCCTGCCCCTGGGAGTGGACTGGTCATCTCCATCATGGAAGCAGCAAGTGGCCATACCTGGGCCGATACACAACGACCCCACTGTAACAATGAAGACAAGCAGAGTTCCTGAGTTGTGACCATATGCCAGCACTGAGCTGAGCACCTCACTCGTACAACACTATGGGGTAGATATGCTTATCATGTTTCACTGAGGTTCAGAGAGGTTAAGCCACTTGCGTAAACTCACACAGCTCACAAGGTGTTTGTCATTCAGGGCCCACTGTGCTTCTCATTGAGTGTGTGCAAGCTCATGGACTCCCTACCCCTCTTGGGCCTGTTTCCCAATCTGTAACTCAAAGGAGAGAAACCAGTCTGAAAGGCTGGAGTTCACAGAGGAACCCAGTGGGTGGAGAGGAGGCTGTAGTGGGCAGGTGTCCCTGGTGAGGAGAGAAGGGTCTGACAGGACTGCTTCCCTCAGTGACCAGCGCCTCTGAGGCCGAGCACCGTCTGTTTGAGAGGCTGTTCGAAGGCTACAACGAGATCATCCGGCCTGTGGCCAACGTGTCCGACCCCGTCATCGTCCAGTTTGAGGTGTCCATGTCCCAGCTGGTGAAGGTGGTGAGTGCGGGAGCCACAGCCGTGGGGTTCGGGGTTTCGGGAAGGGGCTTTCCCAGGCAGCCTGGTTTTGTGCTTCACGCCTCTGCTTTAATCTGTCGTTCTAGGATGAAGTAAACCAGATCATGGAGACCAACTTGTGGCTCAGACAAGTAAGTAACAAGGCCTCGAGCACTGCTGCCCCCTCATGGTGACCACTTCATCTGCTGTCCGTGAGCCAACAAGGGCCCAAAGCTGGGATCCACTGGCTGGCTGGTCTGTCTCTTCCTGGGCTTGGGGTCCCACTGCTCCTCCCGGAAGGAACGCAGGGCTTGGCCCCTCAAGTCACAGGTGATGGCTTGGAGGGAGAAGGCATCTCCATGGTCACACAATAAAATGGGCCTGGTCCCCAACTCTAGGTGGTGCCTGAGGTCCCGGCTTCCCTTCCTCTTGCCAAAAACGCATCCTTAATTCAATCACAGTGGGTAGTGTGGGAAGCAGGGGCTCTGGACTTTCCTTTCCGATTGAGGCCAAAGAAATCATCTTCCACATGTCCTCCCCAGGGAGGCTGTGCCCGGACCTGGACAGGAACGCGCTGGCCTAACGGTGACCCTTCCACCAGCCCAGCCAACTGAGTGCTCAGCCCACGTGGCCCGCCCCCCGCAGGAGGCTAGAAAGCCAGATGGGCACAGTGGCCACTCAGTGCTCACTTTCCCTCAGGCCACAGCCTCACCTCTCAGGGCTCAGGGCTCAGAGCTCCCCGCCTCTGCACCCAGGGACCGGAGGGAACCGTGGTTCCTTGCCCAGAACTCTTCAGAGGCCAACCTGGAGGTAGAACAGTGTTCTGTGTGCGACTGGCACCCCGTTATTGGGGCTTGTTCTGTGTGCAATTGGCACCCCATTACTGGGGCATGTTGTGTCTGTGATTGGCACCCTGTTACTGGGGCTTGTTCTGTGTGCGATTGGCAGCCCACTATTGGGGCTTATTCTGTGATTAGCACCCCGTTATTGGGCCTTGGTAGGCACATGGTTGAAAAGCTCCTGGAGACATAAACATATAAGCTTACGGCATGGGCCTGGACCTGGCACTAGAAGTGACCAGAGCAAGCACTAGTGGTGCTTATGTGACTGAGGAGGGTCCTTGCTCAGTCATAGTGGCAGTGGCTCCAGGAGAGCCAGGAGGCGGGTTGCACACGGTCCAGTGCTATTTCCCCCACCAGCACCCTCGGGAGATCAGGCCGTGCGTCTGCAGCATGCAGGCAGCTCCGTGACTGTGGCAGGGGTGGGGAGTTCACCAAGATGGGTGGTATCAGGACAAGTAAAACCGCATGGTCCTTCTGTCTCCCCCCAGATCTGGAACGACTACAAGCTGAAGTGGAACCCTGCCGACTACGACGGGGCAGAATTAATCCGTGTTCCCGCACAGAAGATCTGGAGGCCAGACATCGTGCTGTACAACAAGTAAGGGCGGGTGGCTCCCACCCTTGGGGCTTTGGCCCGCTGTCCTCACAGCCTGGCCCTCCCCAGAACTTTTCCTACAGGGCTTCATTCGCTGGCTCATCCACGGGTATCTACTGAGCACCTACTGTATACCAGGTGTTGAAAGAACAGTGTGCACAGAGCAGATACCTTCCTGGCTCCAGGAGCCAACCGCGCAGCAGGGAAGACAGGCCTGAGTTATAACACCCAAACGAGCAGTTATGGATGAGCATGAGGGCAGGAAGGGAGCATGGGGGGCGGCATCTGCCTCCAGGGTCCTCCCTAGCCCTGACCTTCCTGTGTGTCGGGTCCCAGAGGGCGCCATGAGCTCAGGCCTCAGGAAGGCTTGTTCTTCTGCTCACCTGGTGTGTCCGTCCTCCCTGCCCACCTGCCCCCGTCACACCCTCCTCTGCCAGCCTGAGCCTGCCCATCGTGGCATCTCTCTCCTAAGGCCACACAAAGCCAACACTTCCCACACGTAAGCTCTGTTATTAGGCAAACACACAAGTATTTCAAATGATATTTTGCAGTATGTACAGGCTCGTTCTCGAGTATTGAAAAACATTTTTTCAGCTGTGCTTTAGCTCTAGTCATAATGTTTTAACCATTAAGCATTTTTCAGCACACACTTCATATACAATTAGTCTAATCTGATTTTAATGAGTAAAAGCATTCTGCGTGTAGGTTTTTATGCCATGGTAGTACAAACTAATATGTTTTACTATTAGTAAGAGGACTAGAGAAGCTATGTTTTGAGCTGAACCCCACTTTCTGGTCACTGGCGGAAAGAAGGGGGATCTTTAACCACTCAGAGATGGTCTGTATTTTACTGACTGTTTTCCCAAGAAAATACAGCAATCATAAATATGATTCTTTCATGCAATTTATATTTAAATCAGTCCTTAGAGAACTGGGACACAAGATAAACTTAAGGAATCCTAGAAGTCCCCTGTGCAAAGGCTGTCAGAGAATGGGGCAGTGTGTGCAGAACTTCTGCCAAGCTAGAATTGAGAAAGTGGGCAAAATCTTTCATCTTACAATTTAAACAGCATAGCTACATTCCTGCTGGCAATCTTGGGTGAACAGCTGCTGTACTCTAGGATGTATGCTGGTGACAACACTGAGAGACACATGAAGTGCTTAAATTGGACTCAGGACAATCAAATATCATAAGGAATGTCCTTAGAATCTGAACATAACATTTAGAGAATATCATCCAACTCTTTCTCTTAATGTCAACACAAAAAACACCTTTTACCTTCTTATGCCAAGTTTTTCCTATGAGCTTTTGTTTTCTGAAGTTCACTCTTAATAGAATCCTCAGAAAGTGCTCACAAGCTCATAACTCACTGCGGCCTTTTTAAGGAATACTTTTAGGTCACTTACCTGGATATAAAATCCTTGGCTCAGTTTTTCCTTCCATGAAAATCTTTAAAATGCTGGCTCGTGTCCTGGTACAAAGTGTTGCCGTCAAAATCTGATGCCAGTCTAATTTTCTTGTTGATGTAAAATCAGGTGAGTTTGGGGAGAGAAAGGGGACACCATTAGTAAGTGTGGCAGGACCACAGGTGTAGAGCAGGACTGTCTTAGACACACTGGTGCAGGGTCAGCTGACGTAAAGGTGAGCTGTTCTTTTGCTTGGGTGACCAAGGTACTTTTCCTTTGTCTCTACAGTCTGGTAGTTTTACGCTGTCCCACGTACATAAGCCTTCTTTTATTCCAGTTTTTTTTAATTACTGTTTTTCAGACTTGTTCTGTCCCATTGCTGATTATCTCTCCATGAATTCCATTTTTACATATATTGGAACTTATTTACCTATATTCTCTCAATATTATTTTCACTCAAATTCTTTCTTTGTGTCTGATTTAAAAGAATTTTTCTCCTTTCTGTATTTTATTTCTATTACTATGCTTTCCATGGTGTCTGCTTGTTTTGTTTTTTTTAGTTTAGTCTTTGCTTCTAAAATGACTTTTTTTTCTTTTTTCCTAATTCTTTCCTAAGTTCTGTCAGCTCTTTTTATGTCCTCCTGTTGCTTAGCCACATTATTTCTTAACTTTTCTTTTTCTTTTTTTTTTAATTGGGGAATTGGGGACGGGAACCAGCCAACTTGTTGTTCTTCAATCTTCGTTGTGGAAGGAGCCAGTCACCATCTGGCTGCCCGTCGGCAGCTCGTGGCCTCTAAGCTCAAGGTGCTGTGTTCAATCTTAGTTGCAAGTGGGCATAGCCACCCATGCGGGAGTGGAACCAGCAGCCTTGTTGTTAAGAGAGCACGCTCTACTCACTGAGCCATCCGGGTGGCAGCTCAGCTCAAGGTGCTGAGTTCAGTCTTAGTTGCGGGCAAGCATAGCCCACCATCAAACAGGCAGTTTTGTTGTTAGGAGCACGTGCTCTCACCAGCTATGCCACCCTGCCACCTGTTGGCAGCTCAGATTGGGCGCAGCTCACTGGCCCACATGGGAATTGAACCAGCGGTCCTGGTGCTCAGACCTCACACTTCAAAGCTAATTCTTAACCAACTGAGCCACTCGGCAGGCCCCTATTTCTTAACTTTTCCATTTCTGATTCACACTGCTCTTTCAGATAGCTCAACTGGTAATATCAGATTATCAGTTTCATCTGCTCTGTGGCTGTATTTTTGCTGGTGTGCACTTAAGGCTGGTGTTTTTATTCATTTTTATCTTTTCCTTATTATCTGTTTATGTGGAGTTCAATCCAATCCTCTTCTGGTGCTCTCGTTTAAATAGATGGCCTTTTCTGAACTTTGAAGACAAGTTCCTAGAGCGGGTGGCAATGGCTCAGGGCGGGCCTCTTGTTTCACCTGCTTGAGAGCCCCCCTCACCTAGTTACCCCCGAGTATAAAAGGCAGGCCTCTCGTGGAGCCACCTCCGGTCTGAGAGCTGCAGCTTCTCTAGTTGCTGAACTTTCTCTCCTCACCCTGCCCCACTGGGTCTGGATCTTACCGTAAGCAGCCTTTTTCGGGTGGGTCTCTGCTGCTCGAGGGGAGTTTTGGAAGCTATTTCCGAACTCCTCGAGAGCCCACACAAGGCTGACTCCTCTGCTGACCCCCAGTGGATCCCACCACCTTTCTTTGTTCCCTCCCACAAACCAGAAGTTGTGGGGCCCTCTGTTTCACTGTTTCCCTTGCTAGAGATTCAACGCAGAACGGGATCTTTTTTTTTTTTTAAAGATTTTACTGGGGAATTGGGGGAGGGGAACAGCGTTGGGGAATCAGGGAAGGGGAACAGACAAGTTGCTGTCCTTCTGTTCTTCAGTTTAGTTGTGGAGGACGTCTGTCGCTTCACTAGCCCATGTTGGTATTATCATTGCACTCATCCTGGCTGAGGCAGATCAGTAGCTGGCCACTGGACGGCCGCTCACAGCGGCTCTTGGCAGCTCACACTGGCTGCCAGCCACTCACGGTAGCTTATGGAAGCCCACTGCAGCAGGGGCTGCAGCCTACGCCATCACTGGCGACTCATGGCAGCCCAGCTCTAGGTTGAGCTGTTGTTCACCATCTTAGCTGTAGAGGGCGCAGTGTCACTGGCCCCCATGTGCGATCCGAACTGGGGCCCTGCTGCTCAGAGCTGGTGTCCCAAGCCAGCTCTTAATCAACATGTCACTCGGCCGGCCCAGGGTCCTCTTTTTTGAAGGGCAGATACTTCCTGGTGACTTCTGTCTGCGGCTCTTAGGGCACGAGAACTCTCCCTTCTCTAATCCGACATGTTCCTGAGAAGGCCCTGCTGGTGCTGGGGGTTCGACCCCACATGCTCATATTCTGAGGTCCATGGGGTTCCATGGAATCTCTGTTGACCATGTGGTCAGTAGGTTTTTTCTCTTGCGATCCCAGCTGCCCTATTTTTCTGAGGGAATTTGGAGGGATTAGAAAAACTGATGCCATCCTGCTCCTTCTCCCACCACTCAACACCCTCTCCCCACTCAAGCTCCTAACCTTTCCTTCTGTTAAAGTGATACCTCAACTAATCACTGGCAGCCAGCCACCCTGCCTTGTTTAATCAACTCACATGGTTCAGTGACATACTGGCTCAGACCCTCCCACCTCTGCTGTCCCTTGCTGCCTGCCATCGCTTGGGCACCCTGTGGAGGTGAGAGCTCCATTTATTTTCTGGTCATTCATTCAGTCAAAAATACTTACCAAGTGCCCTCTATGCAGCTGATGTTGTGTCGGCCCCCAGCTAGGTCTTCACCTTCTCTATCTTCTGGGGGCAGAGACGGGCTGCTGACACTGACCGGGGCAGCAAACAGGCCTTCTGATCAGGGCAGACCCAGCCAGGTCCTGTAGGCCTCAGCAGTGACCAAGGCCCCTGGTAAAAGCAGAAATGAGGGCCAGCTCCAACGTAAGCTTATCTCCAGCTTTGGCATCAAGTCTACACATGCAACAGAGGCACGTGGGGCCAGAGGCCAGAGATTAGCGGAGAGACACACACTGGACACGTCCCTTCTGTTTTCACATGTCCCCATCCAGTAACAACAGCATAAAAATATCCCTAAATGCTTAGGTTTGCATGTTTTTTCAGCTCTTTGGGCAATGGGTGTGGTGGCTGTTCCCTTCTGAAGGACCTGAATGCCTTCAAATGCAGAATTCTACGAAATCAGTAGGGCCGATCCAGGGGAACACACTTTCCCTGGGCAAGGCCGCTGCTGTGAGGAGGGCCGGCCCACGCAGACACAGGGGTTGAGAAGGGGTTGAGTTGGACATCAGTAAGTCTTCTGTTCAACAACCCAGCTTACAAATACCAACAAGACGATTTTAAGAAAATTACGTATCTTTGTGTGAAAAGAAAGTCAAGTGCACGTAGCTAAAAGGAAGGAAGGAGAAACACGGGAGAACGTGGGGAGATAGGGAAACAGACGGTGTAATGGAACATGTTATGCTGGATTTGACAGATGAGGAATCAGAACACAATTGTTCATTCTAAAACAATGCTGGGAGGGATGGGGAGTGTGGGGAGTGGTAGACATGGTGGTAAACCCATGAGTCAGGTTCAGTTTAATGGTAGTGGGCTCCCATGGTGGCTTCACACACATGTAAGTGTGCACCCAGTGGAGACTGAAAGAGGAGGCATTAATGAGGTCCAAGCCATAGGGTATCTGCCTCCAGGACAACAACTTTCAGCCCATTTCTTTACTTAAAGGGACAATTTTTCACTTCCTGGCATTGGGGTATCTCAGTAACTATCAAGTAGGGCACTGTATGTTGTGGGGTGAACCGGTGACACCCCCGGGGGAGGGGACCTGGGCCTCAGTGTCCCCACTGGTAAACGGGCTGGAGAACGAGGTGACCTTTCACAGCACTTTGAGCTCTCACATCCCCCAGTCTCACCACTCACTCACCTGTTGGTGTGAGATGGTGGGACTGGACAGCCACGTGGCAATGACCATTTGTCATCACCCTCCTCTTCATCTCTGCAGTGCCGTTGGGGATTTCCAGGTGGACGACAAGACCAAGGCTTTGCTCAAGTACACGGGGGAAGTGACGTGGATGCCTCCGGCCATCTTTAAGAGCTCGTGCAAAATCGACGTGACCTACTTCCCGTTTGATTACCAGAACTGCACCATGAAGTTTGGGTCCTGGTCCTACGACAAGGCCAAGATCGACCTGGTGCTCATCGGCTCCTCCATGAACCTCAAGGACTACTGGGAGAGCGGCGAGTGGGCTGTTATCCGAGCCCCCGGCTACAAGCACGACATCAAGTACAACTGCTGTGAGGAGATCTACCAGGACATCACGTACTCGCTGTACATCCGGCGCCTGCCGCTCTTCTACACCGTCAATCTCATCATCCCTTGCCTGCTCATCTCCTGCCTCACAGTCCTCGTCTTCTACCTGCCATCCGACTGCGGCGAGAAGGTGACACTGTGTATCTCGGTGCTGCTCTCCTTGACTGTCTTCTTGCTGGTGATCACTGAGACCATCCCGTCCACCTCGCTGGTCATCCCCCTGATCGGTGAGTACCTCCTGTTCACCATGATTTTTGTCACCTTGTCCATCGTCATCACCGTCTTTGTGCTCAACGTGCACTATAGAACCCCCAGCACGCACACGATGCCAACGTGGGTGAAGACCATATTCCTGAATGTGCTTCCCAGGGTCATGTTCATGACCAGGCCACCCGGCAACAAGGACGACACTCAGAGGCCGAGGCCCGTCTACAATGCTGAGCTCTCCAACCTGAACTGCTTCAGCCGCACAGAGTTCAGAGGCTGCAAGGAAGGCCACCCCTGCCAGGATGGGACGTGCGGCTATTGCCACCACCGCAGGGTGAAAATCTCCAATTTCAGTGCCAACCTCCCAAGAAGCTCCAGTTCTGATTCTGTCAATGCCGTGCTGTCCATCTCTGCTTTGTCACCGGAAATCAAGGAAGCCATCCAAAGTGTCAAGTATATTGCTGAAAATATGAAAGCACAAAATGAAGCCAAAGAGGTAAGGACATGTTATTACGTCAGTCTTTCATTCACTCAACAAATATGCATTGGCTCCTGTGGGCACAGCATAGGGCTGGGTTAAAAAATTAGGCCCTGGAGTCAACGGCCTGTGTTCAGGGCAGCTTTTTCACTGCCAGTTACACGTCTTTGGACATGTCACCTCCCCTCTCTCAGCCTGTCTTGTAAAATGGGGTGACAGAGCTTGTGAGTATATGGTGGCCTGAGCTAGTGGACTGCCAGCAGCCTGAGCCAAGAGGTCCCTCAGGACACAGGTTGTAATGATCTCCACTTAGAATTGGTCAGCTCAGCTTAGATTTTTAATTTTACTTTCTACTTGTGTGTTTTTCCCCATTTAGGTATAATTTACATAAAGGGTACACCTCTTGGGTATACAGCTCGATGTAACCATGATACAAGTAGACACAGGACCTCCATAACCACAGGTCCTTGAACTTCACACAGACGGATCACGCAGTATGAACTCTTTCATGTCTGTCTCCCTTCAATCAACAAAATATCTTTGAGGTTTATCCTTTTGGTTGTGTCTTTTTTATTGGTGCAGACTACTCTACAATATGACTGTACTGCCCTCTGCTAAGTTACTCTACAGCTGTTGGACATTTGGTTATTTCTAGTTTGGGGCTATTTTGAATGACGCTGCTACAAATATTCTTATTTGTGTCTTTTGGTGAACATATGCAGTAATTTTTCTTGAATATATACCTGTTACTGGAACTACCCCTGCCCAGACCCACCCCCCACCGACAACCCAGCTCACACTCACCAGGCTGCACCTTCCCAGGTCCTGACAGTCTCCTGGGGCATCTCCAGGGCTGGGCTGGGAGAGGGAGCCAGGAGCTCACACTCGATCACCATTTTGCCTCAACTTATGTACCTGTTAGTCATCGTTAGTCCAAAGTTTCCAGAGGATGGCCAATATCATAATCCCTTAAAGACTAAGAGTCAGACATAACATTAATTTCACCTCAGCTCTTTCTACAGCACTATTTGTATCCCTGTGTGAGACCCAGGTCCCATCTCTCTTCAGCAGCCTAAACCCTGTGAATTGCTGTCAGAGGGAGATTTATACTTGGATAATGGTCATTTTAAAATCAGCATTAACATCAATTGGTATCACTCATTAAGGACCCTGTGTCAGGAATATCATTTTATTTAAGCGCCTCACAACAACCCTCTGTGGTAGGTACTGTTCTTATCTCCATTTTACAGATGCAGAAATTGAGGCTAAGAGAGGTCACATAACTAACTCACCCAGATGCTCAGGACTAGAAAGCAGCTGAGCTGGGATTACCATCAGTCTGTCTCCAAGCCTCTGTTTTCCACCCCCCTGCCTCCCAGGCCTGAGGCTTAGCCATAGGGGTGGAAAGAGAACACAGGGTCTATTGTGTATTTGAAGCAATTACACAACAAAATCTTAGGAATTCAAATAAAGTACCTAATGGCAAATACAGCATTATGATTCCAATTGTACCTGGACTCCTTGGTGTCACCAAGAGGACACATTTACTCCAGCTCATCACAGTGAAATAAATCCTTTCTCCCACCCCATTTCAATATCACTTAATTAAATTACTGCCTCATATGCTGGCTCTGTTATGTGATTATTTCTTCCAAATCAGTTGATTCATTGGCTCTCTCTTTCTCAATTCAATTACAGCTTCCTTGCTTTCTGAGTTGTCTAGGAGTATAATTAACATACAATCCCCTTATTGTTCCAGCCTCAACTGAAGTCCTATTATATACAATTATTCTTGCTTTTTTCCATCTTGTAATTTTTATCAGCAATTATTTCTGATTTTCAGCCTGTTCTATAATAGTACAGAATTCAATGATCTTTGGCCTTATAAATGAAGATGACATTTGGTTAGTTGGGGGGGGGGCAGGGAGAGCAAGATGATGATGGGCTTCCCTGACTTCTGGAACAGATGTTAAGAGGAAATTAGTGTCTAAAACTGGGTAAGAACTACTGCTCTGAAACAAAGGGAAATGATGTATTCGCTGTTCTAACAAAGGCCCAGATCCCTCCACAGAGGTGGGCATCTACTAACTAGCTTTACGAGCTTTATACATTGGAATTCAACTTAGAAACAATAGGTTACGTATACAGTAAGAAATTGCTGATTTAAAGCAGGTGTAATATGACAGAGGTTTGATACTGTTTCTCTAGTGCCTGCAGAGAAACTTGAGAATGGAACCTTTCTGCAGACTACATCACTGAAAAAACAGGTTTCTTGCATTTTGGTGGGAACGGTGGCTGCTGCTGCTGCAACGTATTGATTAAACATTCAGGATTGAAAATATGTTCACACTGCCTTCTCCTCCGTGCTTTATTTTTCACTCTTTCATGATTTTTCCTTTTGCTTTTCAGATTCAAGACGACTGGAAGTATGTTGCAATGGTGATTGATCGCATTTTTCTGTGGGTATTCATCCTGGTGTGCATTTTAGGGACAGCGGGGTTGTTTCTGCAACCCTTGATGGCCCGAGATGATGCCTAAGCACTGTACTGTGCGTCTGCCTGAGGCGAATGGGAGGGCTCTGGTTTTAAATTGTGCTAAAACACACTTAACATAAAATTTAGCATCTTAACCATTTTACATCACCTCTATCCCCAGAACCCTTTGAATCTTGTAAAACTGAAACTATACGCATATCAGTTAAACAATAACTCCCATCCTCCCCTCCCCCAGCCCCTGGCAACCACCATTCCACGTTCTGTCTCTGAGTCTGACTCCCCCAGGGAACTCCTCTGAGTGGAATCAGTGTTCATCTTTTTGTGACTGGCTTGTTTTGCTCCGTATAACGTCCTCCAGGTCCACCCATGTTGTAGCAAGTGTCAGAATGTGCTTCCATTTGAAGGCTGAGAAAGTCCACAGTCTGTAGGGACCATGTTTTGTTATCCATTCATATACTGATGGACACTTGAGTTGTTCCCATGTTTTAGCTATTGTGGATAATGCTGCTGTGAACATGGCTCTACAAATATCTCTTTGAGACTCTGCTTTCAATTTTGGGGGGCATGTACCCAGAAGTGGAATTGATGGATCATACAGTAATGCTATTTTTAACTTTTTGAGGAACCACCATACTGTTTTCCACCATGGCTGCACCATTTCACAGTCCCACCAACAGTGCAGAAGAGTTTCAATTTCTTCCCATTCTTGTCAACACTTTTCTGTTTTTTTTGATAGTAGCCATCCTAATGGGTGTGAGATGGTATCTCATTGTAGTTTTGATTTGCATTTCTCTAATGGTTAGTGATGTTGAGCATCTTTTCATGTGCTTACTGGTCATTTGTGTATTTTTTTTGGAGAGATGTCTGTTCAAGTCCTTCGCTCATTTCTGATTTTTAAAAAATATATATACATGCTATATATTCTGGATATTAATCCCTTACCAGATACGTGATTTGCAAATATTTTCTTCCACTCTGTGGGTTGCCTTTTTACTCTGTTGACAGTATCTTTTGATGCACAAAATTCTTAAATTTTCATAAAGTCCAATTTGTCTGTTTTTTAATCTGTGCCTTTCATGTCATATCTAAGAAATCATTGCTAAATACATCACAAAGGTTTTATCCTTTTTTCTTCTAAGAGTTTTATTGCTTTAGACTCTTTGTTAATAGTAACGCATTTTGATCAAGCTACTGGCTTTGGTTTTTTTTTTTGGCATTTCAAGGTATACTTATTATCCAGTTGTCTTGATTTTTGTCAAAAAAAGATTCATGCAAGAAAAATGTCAAGAGCATGTATTATGGATACATGGACATTTACCCAGCCTTTCTGGTAAGATAAGGCAATGTCGGAATGTAATCCTGCTACAGTGACAAGTGGTATGCTGTGCTATGCAACATGTAAAATGGGCTAAATATGAAAACTGCCCCCTTTTTTTTTTCAGTGACTGAAACATAACTGGATAGAAAACCTTGCTATTCAGAAATATGAACATCATTTGGTTCAGTATCACAAAAGACCTCCCATTGGGTTTTCTTATTTAGCCCATAACCTCCTTGGAGTCTATACCATGTCCGCCATACCCTACTACTATTTTTATTACACACTTCTTGTTCTTTACTGTTCCCTACGGCCAAGGGCCTCAACTACTCATCTCGCTAATTCTAAGTCACTATACAATGGGAAAGTGCCTGCTCACACAACTGCTGTCAATGCACCTTTAGAAAGGGGAGATTTTCAGCCAGATGATTGTGTTGTGGGGACTGTCCTGTACATTGTAGGGTCTTTAGCAGCACCCTAGCCTTTACCCACCAAATGCCAATAACATACCCCCATCCCTTGCCAGTAGTGACAAACAAAAATGTCTCCAAAAATTGTTAGACGTACCCTCAGGGGCACAATCACCCCTGCTTTAGACAAATTATTAAGAAAAGAGTGGCCCATACTACAGTTCTGAATCTGAATAACCGCTGGCAAGAGATGATGATTCACAGAGACTGTTTTCACCTTCTCACTCTTCATTGCAATGTTTTTCCTATGCAAAAATAAAACTGACAAAACTGCAGCCCATGGTGACTCATGTTTAAATAAGTGAAAGGGGGACTGGCCAAGTGGCACATTGGTTAAGAGTTGGCTTGGGATGCCAGCTCTGAGCAGCAGGACCCCGGTTCGAATCCCACACGAGGGCCAGTGACGCTGCGCCCTCTATAGCTAAGATGGTGAACAGCTCAACCTGGATCTGGGCTGCAGTGAGTTGCTGGCGACGGCGTAGGCTGCAGTGGAGCTGGACGGCAACTGACATGCGCTTTCGTGAGCTGCCGTGAGCCACCGTGAGCGGTCGTCCAATGGCCGGCGACTGATCTGCCTCACCCAGGAAGAGCTCAATGATAATACCAACATGGGCCAGTGAAGCAACGGATGTCCTCCACAACTAGACTGAAGAACAAAAGGACAGCAACTTGTCTGTTCCCCTTCCCTGACTCCCCAATGCTGTTCCCCTCCCCTAATCCCCCAATAAAATCTTTAAAAGATAATAAACGAAAGGGAAGATTTTTTTTTTTTTTTAAGATTTTTATTGGGGAATTGGGGGAAGGGGAACAGACAAGTTGCTGTCTTTTTGTTCTTCAGTCTAGTTGTGGAGGACGTTGCTTCACTGGCCCAAGTTGGCACCATCATTCGCTCTTCCCGGGCGAGGCAGATCAGTCGCCGGCTTCTGGACGGCCGCTCACTGCGGCTGCTGGCTACACACGGTAGCCCATGGCAACCCACTGCAGCAGGGGTTGCAGCCAACGCCGCCGCCGCCACCGCTGCCGGCAACTCACGGCAGCCCAGCTCCAAGTCGAGCTGTTGTTCAGCATCTTAGCTGTAGAAGGCAGTGTCACTGGCCCTCATAAGTGGGATCCGAACCGGGGCCCTCTGGTGTCCCAAGCCAGCTCTTAACCAGTGCGCCACTCGGCCAGCCCGGGAAGATTTCTATAAAACTTATTTGCGTATAAAAATTTTAAATGACAGTAATGGAGACATAAGAGGGATCAAGGATGTATATTTACTAAGATAGCTAGCAAGCTATTTAAATTCACCAAACCAGACTTTCATTCATTAAATGGCATTAAACACCAGCCTACAATAACATGCAAATGAGACGGGATGCCCTCTGCCTTCCAAAAAGCATTGACTTGAACTCAGATGGCTTACATATTATAAATAAGTAAGGCATCTGTTCTCTCAAGAGCTAAGAGTTCTAAACAGAATGCAGGAATTCTATCAGCACTTCCTTCCTGGTCATAGCTGAGTCAGGGACACTTATAGATGGAATGTTAACTCGTTTACCTGTGATACACGATAGTGTGCTGAATAAGCAGTGATAGGCTAAGACTAATGGTCGGAATGAAAGTAATAACATTGAAACATTTCAGGTATGTAAAACAATGTGCTTATACCCAATTAAAATACCCTCTTTAATCTTGGAAGGTGGTTTTCTCACAGAATGATTCAGTAGTATCCACTGACATGTTTTAAAATGGGATTCACTTCATTGTCATGGACTCTTCTTCTAAGATCGAGGATAAAGAGATGCTACCACGATTTATATAGAAGATGGTTCTATGAACTGTGGAAAATGTGGACGGGGATGGAAATTCATGTGATGAGATGCCACTGCATGTCCACAGGGGTTGTCTGTTGTGTGATTTCACAATGAAATGTAAGCTTTAAAAATAATATTATAATTGTTCAGTTTAAGCATCTAAATAAAGAAACCCTTAAAGAAGTCCCCAATTCCCATTTGTCATTAAAAAAAAATTTTGGTTATAGAAAATCAGCATCACATTCAATCATGATTATACCAAGTAGTCAGTTTACTTAACATAGCAGTATATTATACTAAAGACTGGCTGTTCCCCAGTGAACACAGGATAGAAAGAATTTTAAAGTGTGTAACTTTACCAAACACAGAAAAAGTTTTGAAGTCCGTCTTCAAATACAACAGGAATTCTCCAGCACATCAAAAGATGAACTTCACTGTTGGTTACAATTAGTATTATTAGCCAGGATACAAGCATTAGGTTATTACCAGTACAGATCAGAAAATATGTTGTTACTTTTAGAAGATCAAATGTTATCCAGTCAGTTATTACTTCAGTCTTGCAGTTAGATGTTCTAATGGGCAATCTATTAAGATAAACCGATGTTAGCAACTATTAGTTTGTTAAAGTTGCATCAAATTTTAAATACAATTGACATTGTCATAATTTTATAGGTGCTATAAGGTTATGTGCCTTTTGCTAACTAAATTCCTACTACGACCGCTTGGGATGCATCACTTATTTGTATTTCCAATATGAACTGGAACTATTATATTTGCCCATTTATAAATAACAGGAACAAAAAGCCCAAGAGAGCCAGCAATTGAAACCAGAAGAAAAGTCCACAGAAACAGCCGATCAAGAACCTGGGCTATGAACTTCCAATCTTCAACAACCTGTTCCAAAAAAAAAAAACACAAAAAACAAAAAAAATAAATTAAATATATAATTTAACATTGTGTAACTATTTTAAGATAGAACACACTGAGCGAGAGGCCAGATCAGCTGCTGTCTCCCCCTGCTGCCACAAAACAGTAAGTAACCCTGCACTCAGAGCTCAGGGAAAGATTCTACCCTAACTGTTGTAACAGGGTCTCAAAGACACTACACATCACATTATATTACAAGAGGCTTATTTTTATAATTTTTAATGAAAATTAGAATATTTGTATATTTTATTAAAAAAACAAAAAATCTTATTCTTAATACACACAGTTATTTCTGTTACATGTGCCTGCCCAGCAGTGTTTACTTATTTTAAGTTTTAAAGAGAATCCAGTCTGTGGTTAACTTCATGCCAAATTAAAAGCTGGTTCAGAATAATACCTACTGGACAGCTGTTAACCTTTTCCCCCCTCACCCACTTTATTTAGTTTGGATTTCCCAGGGACCATTTTCATCTGAGCTCATGAGGACAGACCTGCTGCCAGGGAGCTCATTTCCACCCACTTTTGCAGCCTAAGCAGGGAGCTGGCTCGGCAGGTCTGAGTGACCTGAAGGAAAGGCAGGGTGAGACCAGCCTCTGAGCACCATTTTGTGAATGTTTTAACTGGAAAAGATTTTAGTAAAAATCTGTTATAGAAGATCTATGTGTCAACATTTCTGGCCCTCCATCTATGCTTACTCCAGAAGGGTCATGCAGTTTACTTTGCCAAACTGAATCGAAGCGGATCTGCACTTGTAAATACGACTGTCACAGACCTCACAGACATCGTTCTCCTTCATGACATGCCTTGTAATGTAGCGAATAGAACCAAGGGCAGCTTCCAGTGTGTTTCTAGAAGATTTCGGTCCGCTGCCACTCTCAGTTTCCTCTTTCTGTGTGAAGTACCTATCTGCGTGACTTCTCATGCAGAGCAGCTTGGGGAGCTTGTGAAGAAAGAGCTTACGGACCCACGGAGCCATAGTGTTATGTGTTGAGGGAGAAC